CCGCTCCGCCGCCACGCTCGTGCTCGGGGAGTCTGTAGCCGGGGAACATCCCTGCTTTGGCTGGGGCTACGCCGCCGTGGATGGAGCCCCCAAACAACCCACAATCCGGGTCCGAATCAAACCCCGGGTTGTTCTTTGTGAGCTGAATAAGGCAACTTCCTTGGGCTTTTTGGCTGTTGTAACAGTTTTCCGGACACAGAGTCCCTGGAAAATCCCTCCACTCTGGATTTTCAGCTCTAGCCACCGAAACCCCACTATTCACACCCCTGTTTGGGGCGTGCGAGGCCACCTGCTCACTACCAAGGCCACTCTGATTCTTGCCAATCGAGCTGGCTGCTCTAGTTTTACATTCAACGCACTGCTTTTCCCGAGGACACTTCTCCTTGCTGGGAACATCAAGTCGTTTCAAGACCGGTTCCCTCTGCAGCTCCCAGTACAGCAGCTCTTTCTGAATGGCCGCTAGCCGCTCTTCTTCTGTTTCCATCACCCCTCTTTTCTGATCCATCATCTGGTTCAGGCTCTTCTCAGCAGGGGGGCAGATGTCCAAGAAGTAGCTGAAGATCCCCGGACGTGAGACTTTGCCCTCAAACAGGGATTCCTCTCCGTGCGGGGGACTCATCAGCGCGTCATCAGGCTCGTAAAACTCATAAAGTGCATCACCGCTGTAACTGTCTCTGGGAAGACGGTCCTTCTTGATCTCACCAAGCCCATCTCCGGCTTCGTCCTCCGGCCCCGGCGTGGTGGAGTCGTAATAACCCTCGTCGCTATTAGGGGCGGACTCTTGCTGGTCACTCTGTGGCGTCAGCAGGTCAACGCCGTCCATCGCGTCCCCCATGTAGGGGTGGGCTTCCGCCTCGTGCGAGGCATGTGTCTCCAAACTGCTACTCGACACCTGAGCTCCGTAGCTCCTGTCCCCTGCCACGTTGCTGTTCCATATCTGGTGGAGGTACTCCTCCGCCTCCTCAGGTATGGCCATCTCCTCCCCACCGCCCTGGTAGGTGACCAGGCAGGAGCTCCGTTTAGCAGCATCTCTGCTGCGCTCCACAGAGATGGTGCTCTCAGCGATGTCGGGCTCAGCGATGTCGTCTCCGCACCCCGTCAGGGAATCGAAGCTCTTCAGGGATGTGACGTCTCCTAAGATGAGGCTTAGCAGGTCCCCAGAGTGTAGGCAGGGAGAGTCGTTGTCCATGAAGTCCGGATGAAAGGCCAGCAGCAGATTGCCATGGTCAAACTCTGCGCAGACAACAGCATCGGCCTCTGATTTCGTGTCCAGAACGTCCCCTTTCCCCGGCATTGCCACCGCGTCGCCCTCAGAGCTGCCTTCATCAGCCGCGAGACAGCCGGGCTCGGAAGCCTCGCCACAGAGTGGTGGCCCTCCGAGCCCCCGGGGACGGCTGCGGCAAGAGGGACGGGTCCCTGTCCCCTTGCCTCCGCCGCCCCTCGGCTCTCCACTCCCAAACCAGGAGCCTTGCCAGCCTCCTCCGACTCCCCAGTCCACTCGGGGAGCTCTGCTTTCTCACACTCGGCAACCTTGCTCTTCCGGTGACGCCGGATGCTGTTAAAAAACCCTTTCAGGCCTTTTTTAGGTCTGGGAAAGGAGGACTTATCTCCATTGGGCTTTTTCTCACAGCCCTCGATACTCCCGGGCGGAGAGCTGTCCTGCTGGCCGAAATCAAACTTGGCGCTGGCGTCTACGGCCAAGTGAGCGCTTTGGGAGCTCGGCAAAGGGCAAGGACGCGAGTCCCTGCTCCCCTCCGAAGGGCTTTCCAGCTGCGCCCCGCCGCCCTTGTCGTATGCAGCGCCGCTGAGCCCGTCGTGGGTCTTACATTTACTGAGGCCCTTTTTAGACGCTACCTTCCCCTGGCCTTTGCTTCTGCCTCCAAAGAAACTGGGCAGCGTACAGATGCTCCTTTTCCCTCCGAACAGTTTGAAAGCCGTTTTCTTCAGCTTGCCGGGGGGCGGCTGGGGCCGCTGGGGGTCCGCCGCCCCGGCAAA